AAATATGTGTAAGTCAAATACAATGTCACCATAGAATCATGTTTTTATTATAAAATTGCCTTGAAAAGGGCACCAAAGAACAAACCAAGCGCTAAACTAAACAATTTTCGCCATTTAATTCCGTAAACGCACTTAACGCCTGTTTAAAGAGCGTAAGCATCACATGCAAATACATGCGAAAGCGTAACAAAGCGAACGCAATTTCATTCAAACGTAATTGGCACACTAACACAATCACGCATTCAGCTCGCGGTTACTTGCCCTGCAAAAAATGGAACTAATCCAGGATGACTCCGGGAGCAATCGCAAAGGAGCATGCGACTAATACCACTTTTGATCTCTTTATATGGAATGAACTGTTCGCTTTTGTTCGAGCATGTCCTATGAAGACACTAATTGTTCACTTTTATACCTGAACGGGTATGAAAAGCGACTAGTCACTTTTAAAAAATAAAAATAAAAATTTGCGCCAGCTGAATTTCGAACCGGGGTGCTCAGTTTTGGTTAGGCGAATACTCTCTCTGTGTGCCAACGCCGCACATGAAATTTCATTGACTAAGTGCGTACATATCATTAAATCGTTAATAGTACCCGTTAGAGATGAGTTGGGGACTAATTGATCACCAATTATACCCATAAGGGATGAGTCGAGACTAATTGCAAAAAAGCCCATACGGGCAAAAGTGCCCATGTCTGCCATACAGGATACAAAGTACGATGACCACAAGACTCATTACTCCCGGCCTTTAGAAAATTTACAGCTGTAATATACTTTTTAGCTATACTTCATATCAGAGCCATTGAGCGAGTAAAGAGCAGACTTTATCCCTAAAATAGGCAATACGGGCCACAACACTGGAAAAGATTTTCCTCGTTTCTCTTTAAGTTTACTTATAGTCTTTCGAGTCCACACATTTCCCGCTGCCATACTTCCGCAAATTTAAACGATACTCAGCATGCTTAGCGAAAAGATAGATCGGTTCAAAAAGCCTTGCTCGAGGTTTTCGTGTGGCCATGTCCATACTTCATGCAACATCTTGCTTGCAAGATCTTCGAGCCAAGTCCTGAAAATATTGCTAAATTTTCTTTTAAGAACTAATTTCAAAATACTGCTCACGGCTTTAATAAAGACCCAATTCTTTCACTATTTGCATTTTCATTTCTAACTCCAAAACATTTAACTCAAGATTACTTTAGCGAAGTTCTTTTGTGGTCACGAAATTTTTCCTCCTTTGTTAAGAAGATTAATTGCATAAAGAACTTGCACATCAACTCGTTAAATCCACTAAGCACATGCCAACATTTTGGAGTTTTTACTTTGTACCATGATACAATAATTTTTAGAAGGTAGTTTCACTTCAAAATTTTTGACATAAACCGTGTCTGTGACAAACACGCAATGTGGCCACTGCTACGATATAGAACTTGGGGATTATCGCTTGTTATTTTAGATATTTTTTAACAGAACATGTAAAGATTTATATGTTTCATAACTGATCACTTAATTTTTAATATAAATACACGTATTTTGTTCATACATTTTTGCCACAGCTAATCACATGAATAAAAATCATAAAAATGAAAATATAACAGCAATATTTCTTGTTGATAATGGATTAGATCCATCGCACACCACGGACTTTATCGGCCGCCAATTTAGATGTGCTCGCTAGTCTTTCCATTGCACCACAACTTATTGGTCAGAGCGATTAAGCTGGTGTAATGTGCGCACCTCCATACATCTTCATGTACATATTTCAAGCGAGCCCTATCATTTAAATAGGCGGCCGATAAAGTCTGTGGTGTGCGGTGGCTCTTATAGCTGTGTCCTTACATCTATTCCGTGTGTTGCAATATCCACGAAAGCAGCAGTTAATTTTTTATGAAGAAAATTATTACAAAATATTCGAAAATTTCTCTACTTATGTATATGTTTGGCTTTTCTTTGTTTTATTTTTCCAACGTCAAAAGCTGGATTTTGTTTTTGAAAAAGTTGCTACAACAAAAAATACGAAACACGTTTTCTGTCAGATAGCTAACATGGCGGATAAGAAGAAAAAGTGAAACTACCTTCTAAAAATTATTGTATCATGCTTTGTACTTATGCGTTTCCCAATGCTTTTAAGGTTTAACAGTAGAGTTCCGGTGAAAAGAAGTGGACGCACGAAAATACATAAGCAAACAAAAAAAAGTTAAGCAAAATTATCATTAATCTTTCTCTTACGTCTGTCAGTGAAATATAAGGATTTAGGATGCTGTGGAAATGGCAAACCAGTTGAAAGAATTTCTTTGCAGTTGCAAACAGTTAAAAATGTGGCGCAGTGGAAAATACTTTCATATATACATACATGTGTAAGTACATAAATCTTTACAAAATTGTTTCACAAATTTTTATTTCCTTCTTTTTTTCTACTCAACGCACGCTTGCCAAAGTAAAAGTTAAGTGGAAAATTTTGCTTTTCGAATCGAAATATGAAAAATAGTTTATGATCGGAGAGATGTTTTAAAACTACTTTGATTCGTAAACCAAAAATGATGCTCGTGGAAATATGATTAACGATACATACACAAAAGTGTGGCCACACAGAGAAAGATAATATTTTGACTTGGTTCCGGTGTAAAGAAATCAAAAAGGAAAGTAATATAAAGAAAAAAATTTATCTTTTTGTCGTCAATTCCGACTGTCATGTTTGAAAAACGGATTAATAGCAAGGAACAACATGGATAAATGCCTCCCTGTACCGCTGAACTCCATTAAAATATTATGTATGAGCAAATCTCTCGAGTGGTTTTTTTAGTGTAACTCCCGCTATAGTCACAAAAAAAACGCTTAAGCAATCTTCTTGCATTTGTTTTAATCAATGGAGTTCCAGAAATTAGTTCAACAAAAAATAAATTAAGTATTTGAACAGTTTTAGTCTTAAAACGCTTATTTAGGCAAAAAAAGGACAAAAATTTCTCATTGTTTCATTGTAACTCAAAAAATAATAATTGTTTTTTTTTTAAGAACTTTTGGAAGCTTTCAGATAGAATGTTCAGATTAGAGGCAATGAAAGTTGGCACCAAATACAACATATCAGTGATGTTTCAAAAGTGTGCCACCAAATTTAAAATAATGACAGCATTCACAATATCAGTCGCAGCTATTTTGTAATTTTTGAAAGTTAACGATTTCTTCCTTTTAAATATTTAAGATACTTCAAAATGTTAACATTAAACAGTGAAAATGTTCTTTTGCCAAAAACCAATCTATATTAATAAAACGAGTGTGCCATTAAATGAAAAAGAATTACATGGATTATAAGATGACAGTGATTTGCGAAACAAAAATTCATTTTAAAATTTTTATTGGCACACTCTAAATTCATTCTAAAATTGTTATACACATGAAAAATTAGTATACGCATTCGTGAAGAATACTGTAGGAAAATATTCCACGCCAATATTTAATTACTTTTGAATAATATTACTTTTAAGTTATCAACTGTGTATCGTGCTACAGGGCGTATATGTTATATACACAACTACGGGTATATGAGCACAAGTTGTTATTTGTACTTTTTTTCGTATATCTTTTTTAAATTTTCATTTAAATACAATTTCTCGATGGTATCTTGTTCTTTATGGAAAACTGAAGGTAGTGCAGTATCATAGATAAGTGTGCCACCATTTTCGACCAAAAACGCATTTTTTCGAAAACTGTAACAATGCGTGAGATTTGCTCATAAGTATATGTGAAACAGGGAGATTAGAGTTAAGCAAATTTGCTCTCAGATGAATTGAGACTGTCTGAGGAAAATTCATTATAACTTTTTAAGAATTTATTGCGTATCTTGCAATTATGTCAAAAATTTTAAGGGCACAGAAAACAAATCTAAATGGTGCTGAGAATTAAATTAATCGGGTGGATTTTATATAATTTTCTGAAATTAAATAATTGTAATCGTTTTTGTAAACTTTCATTTTATTACAATCGTAATCGCGATTCAAATCGTAATCGCAATCATAATCGTAATCATAATCACTATCACAACTACAATCGGATTTGTATTCGTTATTGCAATGGTAATCGTAACCGAAATTGTAATCGTAATTGTAATCGTCATCGTCCTTGTCATCGTAGTCTTAATCGTAAACGTAATCGTATTCGCAATCGTAATCATAATCGCAAAAGTGATCGTAATTCTAATCGCAATCGTCATCGTATAGATAATCATAATGGTATTGGTAATCGTAATCGTCAACGTAATCATAATCGTAATAGTACTACTAATCGCAATCGTCATCGTATAGGTAATCGTAATCATAATTGTAATCAGTATTGTAATCGTAATTTTAGTCGGTACCGTAATGCCAATAATCCTAATCATAATAGTAAACGTTAACGTAATCGAAAGTGTAATCAAAATCGCAAACTTAATAGTAATAGTAATCGAAATCGGAATCGTTATACCAATAGTAATTGTAATCGTAATCGTAATGGTAATCGTCATCGTTATCATTGATGTTATCGTTGTCGCCGTCATTATGACTGGTACTATTGTTATCGATTTGTCATCGTTATCGCTGTCGTCATCGTTGCTATTATTGTTATGTTTGTCTTTATGTTTATCGTTTTCGTTATCATTATCGCTATGATTGTCATTATCGTTATCGGATTGTTATTTTTATCGCTGTAGTTATAACTATCGTCATGATTCGTTTATCGATTTGATCGTTACCGATTTGTTATCGATATTGCTATGTAGGCCCATCCTTACTTAATCAGTGTGTTATAGCTATCGCTATGGATTTTGTTATGGTATCACTAGTATCAATATCGTAAACAAAATATGTAATTAAAAATTTCAGTAACCTCTTTTATAAGCCAGCGAATTATATCAACTTTATCTATTTTACTAGTTTTCATCTGTTCTATTAGATTAGTATCCTTCTTGAAGTTGTCTTTTCTCATTATTAGCTACTTTACTCTTTTGATTTTTTTTTGTGGTATTACTCACCAGATACGCATCTGGTATATTCACTGGTGCACCGCTCTCAGCCACATGCCCTGCAATGCCAGTGCCCCACGCAACGCGCACTTCTTCCTGCTGTTCCATCTCTTCCACGGTGCTGCGTGGACAAACGTCGAACAATTTCGAAACGAGGCATCTGAGTTAAACGATAAATAAAAGAATATAAATAAATTTACAATCTGTTAAAAATGTTGATTTTAAATATGTATGAATGAGAAGCAACGTTTCTGCCCAAATTTTTCCTATCGTTCACTCAAGTTGCAATGGCTACCGTTTTTAATATCTGTTACAAAAATTTCAGCAATCTCTTATGCAAATCAACACATTATCCCTAATTTAATTGCAATTCATCATAGTTAAGTTCATTTTGTTGTTTCTTGCGCGAAATTGCCTGGTAGCATGTGCAACATAGGGCCGCCATAAAAGTCACTATTCACAACACTTCACCCCAATGTAAGACATAATTTGTTCTATGTATTGCCAAAAGACATCAGAAAAACAGAAGTGACTATGTTTGTGAATGTATGTGCTTATTGTATGTATGTAAGTATATATGTATGTATATACTATACATATATGTGGTTATCACTAACTATATTGCATGTAAAATTACAAGTTATTAGGCAATAAACAAAGTCGAGTTAATAACAAATCAAGCACATTAAAAATTTATAAATCATTTTCAAGCAGGGAACGCTGGTACAATATATTATTGAGCATAAAATTCCACAGCGCACTACGAGCTAAAAGCTCCTCCAAAGTGGCGAAAATTTATCGACATAAAATTCTGAATTGATTGATTGAATTGACTATACTTTCCAATTAATAACACTGTACAGTAATTGGCTGGGTATGGGAGCAAACCAACTTTTTTTAATAGATCGTAATCAAGAAAAAGTAATTTCTCCGTTTTTCAAATTCAGCCTCCAAAATTGAGATATTTGCTTTCGAAGTTCGAAATTGGACCTTGGGTAAAAATTTTTATACCCGAGCGCACTTGTGCACAAGGGTATATTAATTTTGTTCACATAACGGTTGTTTGTAACAGCCAAAACGAATCGAAATAGATATAGACAAATGTATACATAAATGATCAGAATGAATAGAGAAATCGATTAAGCCATGTCTGTCTGTCAGTCCGTCTGTCCGTCTGTCCGTCCGTCCGTGTACACGATAACTCGAGCAAAAATTGAGATATCTCAACGAAATTTGGTATGTAGGTTTCTGTTAATCCAAGGTAGGTTGGTATTGAAAATGAGCGAAATCGGACAGTAACCACGCCCACTTCCCATATAACGGTAATTTCCAGAAATACGAAAACTGCGATATTTTAGTAACTACTGAAGATAATTCACTCAAAATTGATATTTGTAATAATTTTCAGACGAAAAATAAGAATATTATAAATTTTTGGAAAATGGGCGTAGCCACGCCCACTTATGGTTACATGTGTATATCTTGGTAACCGCTGCACCAATTTCTTCCAAGCTCCTCACAGTTGTTGGCCTTGGTACAGCATACTAAATGGCCGAAAACTTAAAAAATCGGACAATAACCACGCCCACATCCCATATAACGGTAATTTAGAGAAATACGAAATCCTCGATAAATCAGTAAATATTATAGCAAATTTATTCAAAATTGATGCTTGAAACAATTCCTTACCAAGAAATACGTTTGTGGTAAAATTTTGGAAAATGGGCGTGGCACCGCCACTTATGATCACATATATGTATATCGGTAACCGTTCTACCAATTTGTACCAAACTCGATGTGGTTATTGTGCTTGCCAAATATAAGCAAAACGTTGAAAATTATTAAAATCGGACTAAAATAACGGCCGCTTCTCATATAACGGTAAATTTCAGAAATGCTTGAAACTTCAATATTTCGATATTGAAGGACGCTAATTTACTCAAAATTGATACACCCCGGCTTACCATCTAGCGGAAGGTTTCGGAAAGGTGAAAAAACATATATTTAATACTTGCGCCGGGTATTTAATGTTCGGCTCCGCCCGAACTTAGACTTTCTTACTTGTTATTTTTAATTATTGTATGTAAACAACTAAAAAAGTAAAAATATAGACATGGTCCGCCTTTTGCTCTTATTTAAACGGTATATAACTTTTTTACAGGTGTTATAAGGTCAAAGGTCAGCTTTTCGAAAAATTAAAAGTCTTATATTTCAAAAAAATTTTAATTAAGTTTTAAAAAATTGCATGTGCAGTTTTAAGTGGCTAAAAATTACGGCCGTTTTTTTTTTAGAATTTTTTTCACCAAAGGTGTTGCGGGTTTCCTCCATATAAAAATAAATTGTGTTTATTCGTTATAGGGAAGCGAATGTGACAAAAAAGATCAAAAAAAATCAGTGTAATTTTTAGCCATTTAAAACTTCCATATTATTAGACTAAAACTTAAGTGGCTATAAAACTGTGTACAATTCTGAGAAAAAATTTTGAAATTTGGGTGAAAATTTGTTGTATTTTTTTAGTCTTTTAAAAAGTTTTAAACTTTTCTTTTTATGAGTTTTGTTATAGAATGAACTGTGTTTTAATTGAAAATTCTTAAAAATAAATAATTAAACATAAGTGGCACACAATATCACTTTGAAATGGAGGTGCTATAGATATGTCCAATACGTAGACAGAGGAGGTATATACAAAAATTTCATATCTGAACAATAATCTAAAGCGTTAATATAAATGATTTTAAATATTTTTTATCATCGATATGTAAACGGGTCGCACAATTTAATTGTTTTAGCTGCCTACATAAAAGAGTTATATCATAAAAACTGTTATCTGAAAAATTAGTGCTATAGGATCTTGACGATTTTTTCAGTGGACTTCGTATGATTATTTAGAAAATAGCTCACGAAATTGCTAGCTTTAAGCCGTTCAAAAGAAAGACTTTTAAGATAAAACCCCATATTTGAACAATCAGTTGTATGGAGGCTATAGCCTATAGGTTATAATGATCCGATCTTTGTCATTTTCACTGTAAGATTTCTATTGACAATAAGTGAAAAAAGTGCGAAACTTCATGCTCCTATTTAGCTGCAAAAATGGAGAGTTACAAGAAAAAATTTCAAATCTGAGCAATCAGTTTTATGGAAGCTATATGTTACAGTGGTTAGATTTTGCCGGATCCGATAGACAGATTCACTAAACTAAGCCACAAAGGCAAGCCTGTTATTATTTAAATTAGGAATCAGTTATCTAAATCATAGGGCATACATATGTATGTACTATAAAAACCAAACCAACCAATATAAAACCCAAAAAGTCAGAATTTAAAATTTTTCAAAGTTTATTTTTTTTCTATCCCATAAATCTAACATTCGCCAAAATTTCTTCTTCGGCATCATCTTTTTTAACCTATTTACTGAGAAGGAAATTCTCCCATTTGGAAAAATTTTTATTTCAATTTTAAAAGGTTTCGGTGGGAATTTGAAATTTTTTTATGTAAATAAAATGTAAAAATATTTGTTTTCATTAAAAATGTTATAACTTTTGAACCGTTAAATAAAGTTATAAAAAAGGGATAAACGTTTTTCTAGGCATATTCTTGCAGGGCATTAAATTCACTAAAAAATTACCCTGAACTTGGTTGTCTTAGAGAAGATTAAGAGTATTAAATATGTTAATGATATTGCTGAACGAGATATAGCGTTGAAACAAAATTATAATCGAACTTTGATGAAAGACGAGGAACAAAAGCCATTTCTTTTGGAAGTAATACTATTAAAATCAAATAATTTAAAAAGAAATAGTCAAAACTTGTTAATATGTGGCGGTCTTATAATTATGCAACGCAGTGTACTATTAACTTGTTTGTCTTGTGTTTAGAGAAACTTTGAATTGTTAATGTATTTGTTATTTAGGTGTTAAAATAAATATAAAAATTTTGTTGTGTGTTTCAATGTGGAGAATATGTCCTCCTGGAATGTTAAAAAATTCTGGTCATCCTAACCTTTAGGGTTGTCGAAAAAAGATTTCCAAGATAGGGTTTGGGGCACCTTCCAAACATTTTTTCTTTTACCCATATAGGTGCTGGTACCAATCCTTACGTTTCTAAGTATAAATTTAGAGGATGCTCATGATGCTCATAGAACCCAAGAAGTATTATGTACATATATCAATTAAACAATTGGTTAAGTAACCTAAGAACATTTCAAATTTAAATTATCTAAAAAAATATCACAAGTTTCGGTTATCATGGCAACAGCGCCTTTTTATAAAAATCACCAATATTTTTGCCAGTTTCACAGCGATCTAGTATTGCATTTCAAGGTCGTTGAGCACCCTGTTATAGTTGCAGTAGAAATATTAAAAGGAAAAAACTAAGGGGATGCCCCGTTTTCTAGGATGAAATTTTTTCCTTGTACAAAAATTTGACCACTTTAATGTACATGTATAAATATTGTTTAAGTGCCTACTAAAAGGTTTAAACTTTTAATAATATCGTATTTTATTTATTAGCGAAAATATTTGGTGTAATGAAATACTTATTTATCCTTGAACTTTCTGCCGCATGCACGAAAAGCAGCAGAGCAGCCCACAGCACTAAACGATAAGTATAAAAAAATATTATTTTAAATGTAAATGTGTGTTTTAATATGCAAAAATTAATGCGCACACTATGCATTAAAAAAAAAACATAAAAAACTTTAGCTGTGTAATAAAATAAAAAAATGCTTGGATATAAATTACAATATCGAACAAATTAATTTGAAATGCAAATGAAATATGCAAAGGATTAAGTTATCAGTTAAATTAGTGAGTAGCTGAGCTTTTTATTGCTGGCTAAAATATTACGCTTAACTAATTGAGGTAAATTCAAATAAGCGTACACTAATTTTAATTCATATGCAGATGATTTTTTGGTATGTTTAATACAAAAAACGTATTCAATAAAGTGTAATAACCAGTTGTATTGTTAAAATATTATGAGCTTTTAAACTATAATAAACGGCTTATGCTCTTAGTGATTGCCCTTAAATTATTTTTTTATTATCATTTATGGTTTCTTTGTGGTTAGATCCATTGATTATTTTTTGGATCGCGAACTAAACAAGTTTGTCCTTGGCACTACATCAAAAGCAATTAAGGTTAATGGGAAGGCTGTTGACTTACGCACATAATTCTGTTGGTAAGAGAAGTTCATATCGGCGGTTACTGAAATACTACAATCTGCATTTAACTACCTCAAAAAGTAAGCAGTATGGAAAGGGAGAATCTGGAGATAGCCTCCCTTTTCACTCAATAGGTTACACTTGACATACCACTTTCCTACGAATACAAAAGAAGGAAAGCGCTCAGTGTACTCTATTACTGCTAGCAAATTAGCAAATTTGCTATACTGAGAAAAATCTTCGAAAAAATTTTCCGGATCATATTTTAAGCAATATACTTTCAGTCAAATAATTAAAAAAAATACATAAATAATATAAAATATAACCATAATTATTACTACTATTTGAAAAATAAAAATCCTGAGGGAAAAGATTCACCACTTTTTACTCAACATTGGCTTAGAAAAAACGTTGTTTTACTTGCACTAATCACAACCTAGGCCAAAGAAGCTCATCTAAATCAATAAAATATACGAAAATTGGCCAGAAAATAGACTGAAAACAAAGAATTTTTTTTATAAATATAAAAATCACACAAAAAAATAAAGACATAATGTCACTGAAGTCAATTACATATTTTTTTTATAAATTTAAAAGACCAAAAAAAGTCAGTCCTTTATAACACAAAATTTTAAAGAAAAATATATAAAAAAGAAAAAAACACACAAAATATAAATGTACTAAAACCCATCTGTATTTACCAATTTATATCAACAATAATTTTAGTGGCGAATAAATCTGAACAGGTATCGCAATTTACAACATTTATATTTTTTTTTATTTTTTTAGCTGGTTTATAAAGCATTTAAGGCCTTTATTTTTACGAATTTGAGTGTTTGTTAATATTGTTTAGAAAGTAGGCAAAATATTGAATTTCTGCAGGAAATTGAATTTAGAATCTTGTAACTCGAGCCTTAAAGGCGCGTACTTCTTCAATGTTCTTCGTTTTTGATGCTGTGCCCAAAAAAATATTCGAAGAACGCATTTTTAGCTTCCGTAAAATGCTGACATAAAATTTAATTATTTGAAAAAATCTGCGTACTTTATATTTCTTTCAAAACAGTATTAACTAAGAGTTTTGGATGTAGAGAGTGGGAGTAATTAACGGTTATCTTAAATTTTTATATATGGAAATGAAGTCGGATTTTTTTGCTTAAAAATTACCTGTTTTCTTAATTTTATCACGAATTCAGTTCAAACCAATTATTTGATTAATTTATGCAGCTAAAGTGAACTACGCGAATTCTGTCTGATTAGTTCACACGAATTTATTCATACACACAAACATATGTATGCAACTGATTATCATGGTCCTTATATTCCTTTACAATCCTCATCATCATCATCATCACCCTATTCATTCTTCATTTTCTCTTAATCCAAATAAACAATGCATCAAGCAAAAAAAAAACAATGAGATAAATTTACATTCAAAAAGACATACTCACTTCTTGGGTCCATCAATGCCGGTACTGCAACGTCCTTGCACCAGAAACAATGAGCCACGATCGGCATTCAATAATATTGACACGTTCTGCAGGATTTTGTGACACAATGTACGCACTTCCAGTTCATTGCAGATATCCTTTACCTAATTTGCAACATTTCGCAAACGCCATGTTCGTCAACGATGAGGCACGTGCGACAAACACGTGGCAACAAGTTTGTTGTGTAGACGATTGATTGGTGGTATTTCATTGTAGTTGCGACGATATGGTGATTGCAACAAAAGGCCATTGTAGCGGTACATAACAATGGCGACATCCAACAACCAACAGCCAGAGTAAACAAAAATGTTGCAAGTACATGCATGAAAAGAGAAATTGTTGAGAAGAAATATGTATGTAGTAAAATAGTGTAAGCAAATTGATTCAATACGAAGTTATTGTTGTTTGCTGTAGAGAAATGGGGAAATTGCTGCTGCTTTGTTTATTAATTAAAAAGTTTGCACGAGCGTTGGAGCGTACAAGTAAAAAAGGAGGAAAAATGGAAAGGAGCACAGAATTGGATTTAAAAAAATTTCACTTTAAAAATATATTTAGTTAGTTTTGCCCACCCGTACATATGCACATATACATACTATTTACTTGGGGACGGCAAAGAAAAAATTATTTATTGTATCAAAACTAATTCCTTGTAAAACGGGGCGTATAAGTAACCACTAAACTTCTAATAAAACTATACTCATTTACTACATGCCATTATCTACTGACACTGGCTATAAATAACTAAAAATCCATTAAATGTCCAAACTACTTGAACCGTTACTAAATGTGTTTCAGTGGTAAACCCACTACGGCTACTGACCCTTCCACTCGTAAAAACGTTAGATACCAAAAAAAAAACACAAAAAACTAAAACCAATCGCCATCACCCGCAAATTAATTAATTTATTTGTACACCACTTTTTCCCCTCATTCCCCTGCCCTTTCATTCCCGCCCACATTACCCACATAGTTATTTAATACTTTTGCATGATTGCCCCAATACCTTACCAGTTCAAAAATAAGCTCCTTCTCATCCAAAGCCTTCAACTCGTTGCGTGACAAACGCTGTGGCCGATAGTAGCCCATACTGCCGTGCGCCGTCTGTCCATGATGATGATGATGGTGATGATAGTGATGAGCACCCATTGTGCCCGTGCCATTGCTGTTGTTACAGTTACCACCGCCTGCGCCGCCGACATTATTGCCATTACTGCCACCAATATTGCTATTGTTATTTGACGAGCAATCATTTTGTGTGCCTATACTTAAGAATGTCGGCGTACCGTCAATGGTGTTGACAATTGGCTTCAGTAGACCGCCACGTTCAAATTCATGCGCTGAAATTTTTCTGCAGCGTCACCAACATTGATGGAGTAGTGTCAGTAGTGTAAGCGCAATATGGTTTGAGTGAGATTGAGCGCGGTTGTGGGAGATAATTAACGGGTGTCGTGAATGTTTGTTCGCGAGTTATTGAAAATCATTAAACGCATAGTCATTGGAAGAGAAAAGAAGAGGAAGAAAAGAGAAAAAAAAAATACATTTAATTAATAAGTTCTGTTTATTTTAAGATAATTGATAGCATGCCATAGCAGATGTCAAGTATAAATGCAAGCAATCAATTAATTATTTGGATAAAAGCGCTTGGACTTGATTATAAAATACAATTTTTAGGACTACAAAAAAAATATTTTGTCGTAATAAAACTACCGAAACTTTCGTATTCTTTACCACGGAAAAGGAAAATGTGGTAATGTTACATGTCAGCAATAGCATAGTGTTTGATTAACCCTAATCCTAGAACCCTAATCGGGACAAACAAAACATTTCGCTCACGTACACTTATCATGGAAAGAAGTTTATTTAAGTCGCATTCATAGCTAAAACGCCTAAAGGTGATTAGACTAATGAGCTCCAGTTCTTTTCTTATCAAACCCTTAGAACAACTAATTGACTACCACATATGGGAAACCTAACTCAAACCCAAGCTACTAGTTACTTATGGATACGGAAGGCTCCACGCATACCAAACAGAAAAATCTTCTATTACAAGGATTAGCAATAAGGCCACAAAGCCCGTTCATGCTTGTCAAAAACTTCATGGAAAAACTTGGAGAATATCACCGAAATTGACTCACCGGCCATTCACAGGAGACATGTGCACAAGTCTAATGAGGCCCTAGGAATTATCAGAGACATAATACCTCTAGCCTTACTCTTTAAAAAAGAGGCGTTTTTGCTAGTCCTAAGGCTGCTAAATCTAGGCAGCATGTTCTCCCGACAGTTTTAAAATCATTCATAAATGATCGCCTTACCAGATTCATCAAACGTTATGCTAACAAAGTTATATTTTCTTAAGTTCTTCAGAGCTAGAAATCCTGCAAGGAACTCTTGTTCCCTCAAATATCAAAGAATTGAAACAAAATCCAATCCACCCAAAAAAGTCGAGAGGACTACAAGAAAAGTGCAAAAAAGTCCCATAGAGTTAAAAAAAGGCATAAATCGCATAATCCTTAAACATGTTTAAGTATCCAAGATTCATGAAAAGTACCAGTTTCAAAAAATATCACAAAATATCCGGAAAACGTTTGAATAATGCCAATAAATCACCGAAAACTTATGGAAAGTCTAATCTCTACATATGGGAAGACAACTTGAACTTCTTCATCAGGTCCAGAAAAAATTCAAAAAGTTTTTAAAATTTCGAAAAGTGCCTAAGAAATATCTCTAAAAATACCGAACAGTATCAGAAAATCACCAAAATATCATTACGAGTCCCGAAAAGTTACGAAAAAAAAAAACAAACTGGTGTTTTCGTAAAATTCTGTATAGTTCATAAACTTTCCAAAGCTGCCTGAATGTGTTAAGAGTTTCAGAAGAAAAATCTCCGCAATATAAATTCCGAAAAACAAAAACTGAATATCCGAAAAAATTTGAAATAATTTTTCCGAAACATCCTGAAAGAGCTCCGCTGCAGGGAGATTTGAAGTAGCGTTAATTCTTAAAAAGACTGAAAAATTTCCATAGGAAAACTGGAAACTCCGACCCAAAATTCGGAAAGGTATCGAGAAGTCCTAGAAGCAAAAATCTGATTTTTCCAAAAAATGCAGAATACTTTCCTAAAAATAAATAAAAAACTCCGAGAATACCCGGAATTCCCAGAACATTCGGAAAAGTACCAAAACATCTTCGAGTTGCGGAGAAGTCCAGAAAATTCAAAGAGTTGTCATACTCCGAAAAAATTTCAGGCAAATGAAATAAGCTCGTAAATTAAACAAAAAATTACATATGTCCCGAGCAGTTCTGAAAGATTAAAAAAAAACTCCGAAAATAGCGCAAATTCTCGGAACTTTCGAAAAAGTACTAACACATCTCGAAAACAAGTAAGAGCAGCGCTGTCTTTGGCTATGCCGAAGACTTCATACCTTTCATGAGCATCTGAAAATTTTACTTTAACAGATTACTGCATTTGAATAAATTTATATATTCACAGCAGGCATAGATAGAGGAGATACATATATAAAAAATCATATCTAAACAATCAGAGGTATGGAAGATATACCTTATATAGCACCAATCTAAGGGATTTTCACTACTGTGTGATCGGTACGTAAACCGGTAACACAATTTAATGGGTTTAGCTTCCTACATAAAGGATATACATATATCGCAAAAACTGATATCTGAACAATCAGTGGTACAAGATTTTGACGATTTTCTCAGTAGACTTTGTATTATTATTTAAAAAATAGCTTACAAAATTTATCGGTTTTAGCTGTCCAAATAAAGGAGTTTTACAGTAAAGCCCCATATCTGAACAATCAGTTGTATGGGGGCAATAAACAGGTTATAGTGACCCGATCTTTGTTAATTTTATTGTAAACTTTCTGTTGACAAGAAGTGAAAATAGTGCGAAATTTCATGTTTCGAGCTGCATAGATGGAGTAGTTATAACAAAAAATCGCATATCTGAACAATCAGTTGTATGGGAGCTATATGTAAAAGTGACCCGATCTTTGTTATTTTCACTATAATTTCTGTTGTTAATGGGTGGAAGTATAGGTGCATAAATGGAGGAGTTATAACGAAAATTCTCATAACTGAACAATCAGTTGTATGGGAGATATATGTTATAGTGACCCGATCTTTGTTATTTTCACTGTAAGTATTCTGTTAGTAATGAGTGAAAACGATGCGAATTTTTATGTTTCTAGCTGTATAAATGAAGAAGTTATGGCAAAAAATCTCATATCTGAACAATCTGTTGTATGGTGGATATAGGTTGTAGCGTCCCGATCTTCGCCATTTTCACTGAAAGTATTCTTTTGATAATAGGTGACAACAGTGCAAAATTTCATGTGTCTAGCTACTTAAATGAAGGAGTTATAACGAAAAACCTTATATCTGAACAATCAGTTGTATGAGAGCTATAGGTTATAGTGACCCGACGTTTGTAATTTTTACTCTAAGTTTTCTGTTGATAATGGGTAGAAGTAATGCAAAATTTTATGTTCCTAGCTGCATAAATGGAGAAGTTATAACGAAAAATCTCATATCTGAACAATCAGTTGTAAGGGATATATGTTATAGTGGTCCGATTCTTCCGGTTCCGACAAATGATTAATACATTATAAAAATACACCCACCTACCAAATTTGATCCGGATATCTCGAAAACTGAGAGACTAGATTGCATACAAACAGACGGACAGACAGACAGACAGACAGACAGACGGACAGACGGACATGGCTAAATCGACTCAGCTCGCCGTTCTGATCATTCAAGTATACATTTTAATGGGTCTATCTCTTCTTATTCTGGTACCTACAAACATCGGACCAAAGTTATAATACCATTTCATACTCATGAAAGGTATAATTACTGATTTTTTCTGAGTTGCGGAGAGGTCCAAAAAAATTAAAATTTTTGTAAAACTCCAAAAAAAATATCTGCAAAATTTAGACAAATATAATAAATTCTTAAAGCCACAAAAAATTACTTGTGTCCCGCAAAATCCTGAAAATGTAAGCAGTTTTAATTTTTTCAAAAATTAAAAAAATAGTCCTAAAATTTACGAGCTATTCATGTAACCAAAGTCAAATAGTGCAACGCAGCTCCGTTGATGTTATGTTTCTCACTCGATATCTACAGTGAACGGCTGAGAGCTAATATAAATGTTTTTGCAAAACCGCACATCGACCAGTTGCAAAACCTCTAATTTTACAGCAAGGCGAAAACTGTATTTTTTGCTATTTTATTTAAGCCGTTGACTTGGTAGGCTTATCTGTAATTTTACATTGTATATCTTGGTACCTGAAGTTCAGGGTTATAAAATCTCATTTTTGCCACTATGCCTATTTAGGCGGTTTTTGTAACTGGTCGATGGGTGGTTTTTCAGAAATTTTCAGAATTTTTGAGATCTAATGCCGAATTTCCACTAGGCATTGAAATGCCAAAAAATAAATGCCATGTGGAAATGAACTTAATGACACTTTTTTTGAACGTAATGACACGAATATTTTTTAATGCACAACTTTGTCATTTGTCATTTTTGCCATTTAATGCCTAGTGGAAATCCACCATAACGATTTTTTCTGTTTGAAAGTTTAAGATACTTTAAAATGTTAACATAAATAAATAAATGCCTTACACAAATAAGTAAATAGCACCCACCAGCAAAAATAACGGAGCAAATTAAAGCAAAACAACAAATGCCCAACAATCACTGGAATGACCACCTCCACCGGCAGTTTCTTTGCGGTTAGCAGTAAAAATGTTGAAAAGAAATCTGACCATTCTCAATTTTACATACGCCCGTAATGTAACTTATCTTTTAACACGCCAACACTGCCTGCCAGTCAACTGAGTGGCGGCATAAATAAACAATAATGATGGAAAACAATGGACAACAACAACTATGCGTGTAATAGACTACAAACCTCTGACCAAAAGCCGCAAGCGGCGCTCGTCATAACAACAAAAGAGATGAGCATGTAGTAGATAAAAAAGGAAATATGTATGTATGTACATAAGTATGCAAAACGCAAAAAAGGAAAACCGCAAAATCCAGTGGGTGAGCGTAAAATATGCCAGTGTAATACAGCAAAAGAGTATCCTTGAAATTTTTGCTTTCTAATTTGCAGTAGGGTCCTGCTAACTGTCCTCTCCATGCATATCTATTGCTTACTATTTTAAGGCGACAAATTTTAGCTTGGTAAACAATATTCACTTATTTTTTGTAAGCAAAATCTGTCAGCGTAATATGAGTGCTATTTAATATTGTAAATGTTCCATTTAAAAGATGTCAACTTCAATTACTTTCTGCTGAAACGCCTACGCGCTGCTGGTGATGTGTTTACATTCAGCACTCAAGCTGTTTTCCACTTAAAGCCCCCTAAGTAGTAAACGATAGCTAGTGAGATATTTTCAGTTCATCAATGTATGAATTTATATAAAATAAAATCCTAGACGCACTTATACTTTTTCTATTTGTATATTCGTTTCCTTGTAAAAATTATTTATAAACTTACCTCACGGGCGTTGTCGCTCCGGAACCACCACGCGATGAGCAACTTTGTCCGTTGGTGTGTGTGAGTGAGCCAGTCAAAGAGACATCATTTCCAGCTGAGGTGGCATGTGAAACGAGCCAGGCATCAACCACCTGTCGTGTGGCCTTTCTGCAAAGAGAATAAAGGAGAAAAATGAATGAATAAGACATCAGCAAATTTGGTTTTGTAAAACAAAAACAATTTAAAAATAAGTAGTATACACAGGAATACATTGTAGTAGGACTACGTTTTTGCACTCCGGTGCTCAAAAGGGCAACAAAGAAAATGCATTTTCTAAATGCAAATTAAGGTACATGGAAAATATACCAGGGTTTTAAGATATTTGATTTTTAGCAATAAATTTCAATAATATTTAAAAATTTATCAGATTTATATCAGAGATGATAAAAATGATTAAGACAAAAAAGTGAAGGCAAAGTTGAAGATAAAGGCGAAAATTAGAACTATGAGAAATACATAAGAATTAAGGTAACTGAAAGGGTGACAAAATTTATTAAAAATTTTGTATAGGAATCGCAATAAATTCAGTCACAAAAACATTAGTTATTGAAAGTTATCAAGCTATCGAAGCTTATGGTTATCGAAATGTATCGAGTTATTCATGTTTATTTAGTTATAGCACCGTAACGAATCGTTCAAATTGATACATTTTTATTGAGTTGTCGAAATTTATAGACACAAAGACTTAGTTATCGAAATTAACGGATAGTTATGGGGCTATAAAAAACTAGGGGGAATTTCTCAAGTTAATGAAATTTATCAAGTTATCGATATTTATTGAATTATCATTATTTATAGAGTTAAAGAAATTTATAGTGTCCCATTCGAAAGATCCGAGTTAGAGTCCTCGGACAACGGAATTATTATATTTTTTTTAACCGACTTCACAAAACGGAAAGATTATCAATGTAAAAGAATGGATGGAATGGAAAGATTATCAATGTTATGTTACCGCATAACTTTGGATCACGTTAACCGAAAGCTGGTACCTCAGAGGTGGTCCCATACTAATTTGGTTTAGATTCGATCGTTGGATTATGAAGAAATTAACGGTACTCTTAAATTTTTATATGAGAACTGAAGTCGCTTTTGTTTTTTGTTTAAAAATTACCTGTTTTGTTTAATTTTCATATTTTTTTATTTAATGGTCTTTTAATTTTTAGATTTTATTGTTTTAAAAAGAAAATTATAAATTTTTTATTTAACTTAATTTAATTTAAACTAATTTTATGTATTTTTTTATTTATTTTTTCTTGCTTAATTTATAAGTCATGATTTCAAAAGGAATATTTTTTTTATTAATTTAGTTTTTAGGAACTTATTTTTTTTTCTTTTTTAAATAAATTTATTTTGTTTTCTTTTTTAAGCTCATTCTCTGTAGGTGTTGAATATTATTGCTAAGAAAAGAAAAAATATATATTTTTTTATTTTTGGAAATTTTTTTTTTATTTTTTTATTAGTTTTTGATAAAATATAAACGGCAACTCTATTATTCCTTCTCCAATTTTCCCGCATTAACTTTTTCTATTCTCCCATTAAACATTTCTGTTATACGTACTATGTAGTAACTTAAGATTTTCTTCTTACTTGGAATAAGCGATTATTGCCTAAAGACGTGTGCTGTTTATTTTAAAATATCCCTCCAGTTTTTCTTTTGTTAAATACATTTTATTTTAAGTTTTAGATTTTGTTGCTTTAAAAAGGAATTTTTATTTATTTTTTGTCTTTTTTTAGTTTCATTCAATTTTTAAAAATATTCTTATTTATGTATATCTGCTTTACTTTCAGTTTATTTTAATGGGAATTCTCTGATTAGTGATTCGACAGTTCATTAGCCGGAAGCGCTCCAGAATCACTGGGTAGTTTTCCTTGTCGGGCGCTAGACGGAAGAAAGCAAGCCTGTCCAAAATCGAGAATTATTTCCGACCGGGCATCTACATATAATTTTTTTATTGGCATTTTATTTTTGATTTTGTGTAGCAATTACGGTTTCCAAGAAAAGGAGATAGAGATTAACCCTCCGATGAGTGACAGTGCCGATGACGTTAGATTCGTGGGACCTACAAAGAGTTGCTCGATGTTTCGACTGTACATGTGCAACTTCTTTCGTATTTATGTTGTCTTTTGATTAAATTAACGTCCTGCATATATATTAGGAATGAAATAATTTCAAGAACAAGTGAAAAAAAATCAAAACATGAAGACAAGTAACTTGTTATTTCTTCTAAAATTGTACAAGGTCCCTAAGGCCTTGTCACTAATCCCCGTACTATATATGTTGAAATCTCAATAACAC